TTATGTCTGCATATATAATTTTAATTCTTTAAACTATCAAACACCGCGCGGTCACCGGTGACCGCAACCTATTGTTCTTTACACAGTTTAGACACAAGTCTAAAATGACGGTATTCAAAGATTTAGCTGCCAATAGCTGTCTTTTATTTTTTACTTCATTTTTTAAAAAAGCCTTGCCCCAGACTAGGATTTTCTCCTGTGTCGTGGGTGCATATACGAGCATACAATTTCACATACCCATGACACCCAGACCTGGAACAATAATCTGTGGATCACACAAAGAGTTGCCACTGTACAATGTGGCACCCACTTTTCACTTTTATGTTATGAGTCCCATGTAATAGGGGGTGAGCCTATATACCGGGCACAATTCCAGAGTCCATGCTATTACTTAGACTTTTTTAAAACCCAGTAGCATGTGAAAAAGTAGCATGTTTTAATCTCCATATTTCTATATAATAGCCATGTATATAAATCAATACAAAGAAAAATCATTCGTTGAAGACTCATCAATGTGACGTGAAATAAAGATAAATATTGATGCGTTAATGATAACGCAAAATAATGTTAGTCCTAATCCGTTCTACAATGTTATTATTATAACCTTAGTTTACCTTCATTATTATTATTATTTATAATAGTGGATTAACCTGAATCCAAAATATTATAGCATTATCGTAGTAAGGATTAAGGTTTACATACTGGGTCACTGGGTCAGATTTTGAGTCCAAATTATTATTACTTAAAACTAAATAAAATGTTACCTCAATTAGTTTAAAAGTTTAAGGAAAATAGACTATTCTATCTCCATTTTTTCCAACTGTTAATCGAGTGACTCAGTATTGTGATAATATAAATTAAATATTGTGAAATCACGAGTAGGTACCTATCTCTATCGCAACTGAGCTCAACATGTCCTAAAACCAACTATATACTGTACAACAAAACTAATTTAATTCGAAGCCAAAACGTACTGCCCATAATAATATCCACTAGAAGAGATTATTTCGCCGCACCGGGCCTCGGTGGAATCTCATTGAGTGTTGCAAAGACGTCGGCTTATACTACGATAATCTGTGGCGCAATATCAAAAGCGTTTGCAGCCGTGTTCGGTATTATGTAAATTTCCCCCGATAAGGGAGCCGTTGCTAGCTCTGGCTATGTATAAAATTAAAATATATAACAGTGTGATGCGTTTACCTGGCTTGACATCTATGCAGCTTGTGGTAACGATGCAATCACGAGTAAGGAAATAATAATGTTATGTTCTGGCTGCTCGTTTCACGGGTAATTTTATTTTGTTGTATGCATAAATTCTTTGTGAGGAACCTCGTTGTGTGAATAAATTAAGCCGCAAATTTAGTTCAGCCTCGTTGGTGTCATCAAAATCGTAAACTGTGCCACTGAGATAAACTAGATTTTTGTTACGGGACTGTTGTTCTAAATATTTTTTATGTTGATTTCTACGAAGTAACAAAATTATTCATATTATTATCTATAAATTATCTTTATAAACATAGGTTTATGTGCTTTTACATAGGTTATAGCACAGTTTTGCTTACTTGATGAATCAAGTGTACAAAAACAACTGATAGGTTTCGAAAAATATATTGACAAAAGCTGGGATTCAACCCGCCAAATCCAAACAAATCCACACACACGGTACAGCTCTCAATAACTGAACTATCTTGCTAGAGATTATTCACTTATTTTCCACTAAACTGTTATTTTTGTGACTTGAAATTGCAAATCAAAAATGTAAAGATTCACTTCAGTTTCTCTAATATTCCTCATTAAGAATACGGATTCTAGAAAATTGCCAGATCTATGGCAACTAACTCACTACTGTTACAGATAATAAATATTATAGCTTGTCTTGTCATCAGTTATACGTCACTAAGTATGTACCTATATGACACACCTTAATAAAATCGTGTGATGACACATTAACTGTATTAGATTGTGATGAAAGATAATGCAACGATTTCATCAGTCTATAAATAAAAAAACAAGAACGGACAAGTGTTCATTTCAAAGTTATCGTACGAATTGACGTCA